AAGGGACGTATGAATCGAATGGAGTGTGTCAGAAGTGCACAACTAAAAATTGTGCGTTGTGTGATAACAATAACGCATGCACTAAGTGCATTGACGAATTCCAATTGTCAAGTTCAAAGGCGTGTTTCTCCGCAACAAACGCATGCGGAGACGGGCAATATGGAACGGCCGGAAACTGTCAGGACTGCAAGGTGACAAATTGTAAGAAGTGCTCCACTGATGGTAACTCGTGCAGTGAATGTACTGGAAATTATATGCTCGATCCAAGCAAGACAAAATGCGCAGTTGAATGTCCACAGAATTCTTTTAGTAATAACCAAATCTGCTACAAATGCACTGAAAACTGCGCGAAATGCTCAGGAGAAAGTGCGTGTGATGAGTGCGAAAGTGGTATTAAAATTAAGTATGAGGGAAAATGTTATAAAACTTGCCCAGATCATACATTTGAGGCGGTGTCTGGGGTGACGTGTGAAGTGTGCAAAGAGAGTTATACAACACCATGTAAAGAAGACGACAAAGAATGCATTAAATGCACTACAAAAAATTCGGATCGTGCCACATTAGCTTGGGTTTTGGCGCTGTCTGTTGCTGTTTTGATGATGATTTAAATTTACAGGGTTTTTATATTTGTTTCAAAAACCATTTTTTGTTCTGTCAGTTTAATTCTTCCAATACAAGAAATATGATTGTTATAATACGCATACAAATGAATATCAACTTAAATCCGTAAACTAAAAGTTATTCTAAATAAAATATTATTCAGTTTTAATATTGTGTTTTTTCAGTTTACGTTTGATGTATCATTTATAAAAAAAAAGTTTGCACGTTTTATTTTTTGTATGTTATATAAATTAGAAGTCTAACACAATTGTGTCACACAAATTAGTTTTAACATGTATTTTATAATAAAGTAGAGTAATGAATATAAAGGTTCTTTCTTTAAAAATGTCAAACGGTGATTTCTTTTCATGAGAACGTCACCACGCAAGTCCATATGTTTAAAAGTGAACGACCATATTACAACATTTGCGTTATAATTTCGTTATATAGTCTATTCCCACCTTTTCACGTTCAATTTTTTCTTTGATAAAAAATAAATAAAAAAATAAGAAGAGAATAAGCCAAACGTTGCTTCGTATTGGTCAAGTGACATTTAATTGATTTCTCTTCGACATTATTGTAAAAGTAAAATCAGTGAATTACATCGTTACAAACATCTTTTCAAGTCTCTCGACAACTTCTTTAATCTCAGGTGGTTCTAAAGAAGTTTGCTTCCTCAAATCATTAATCAAATCGTACGTCGCAGTGTCTATAGTTTCCGTTCGTAGAAGACGTTCACCACTGGTGACATATTTAACTCTGTTCCACATATACAGATAACGGAATTAACAGGGAATACAGGAAAAACCAGGGACCATACTAATTTTAGCTATTGAATATTAAGCGGATTTTATACAATAAAACGGGCAAATATATAAATAAATGTGTAATTTTCTTATTATTTGGTCTTAAAAACGGTTATTTTTCGGGATGAAAAAAAATGAATGTGTTGTATAAAGTTTGAATAAGCAACAGTTGATGTGAGTTATAATAGTAAGTTTATTATTATTAATTATTATTTAATTATAAAATATTATTCTTTTGTTTAACCTTGTTTAACTTCAACACAACCATTCAATTAAATCGTTCATTCATTTTTTCAAAAAAGATGTCGTAGTATTTTCTATTCATTCGGTTGATTTGATGAGTCACTTTTTTTTTCAGCATTAAAAGTGACTCACGCAATAAATCAAAATAAAATAAAGAATAATAAATTATCGAAATGTTAGACATTTAGTAAATGATTGATAACTATTTTACGTATTCAACAACGAAAGATAAATCAATATAAAGAACAAACTTTTCTTTGGCTCGGCTGGGCTATAACAGTTGAGACAACTTCGAATGATTAATTAAGAGTTTCATATTTTATAGTTTTTTCTATTTTATTTAAAAAAACAGTGTGTCTATTAATACTTAGTCCCTGGTTTTTGAAAAAAAACCCAACATATCCTCCAAAAACCCGATTATTAAGGGATTTTTCTCTGACAAGAAAACTTTATACCAAAAATAAAACAGCTTAATTTAGTCTGGTCCCTGGTTTATGATTTGGTCCTAGGTTTTACCTGCAGGTGAGGTACTAACCTGTCAACCAGAACTAACCTGTCAGCCATTTTCCTTTAGGAAGCCTAAAACCCGGATTAGTACGTTTTTTTTATGGCATTTGTTTTTTGAGATTTCATCTCAAAAATGAAACCTGTCAGCTTTTTTGGTATTTTTGGTATTTTTGGTATTTTTGGGTTTTGTAAAAAAGTAAAACTAAAAAAAAACGATGAGAGTAAAAGACATCTTAATTGTGATGTTCTTCATCAACGCCTTGGTCATCGAGGAACAGCCTCAGCTGAAGCTGATGGGTGGGATGCTGGGACAACATTCTGCCACGCTGTTGCAATTCACTATGTGGGAAGAATTGAGGAGAAAAAAGGTTTGTCTTCTTTGAGAATACCCCAGTGTTTCGAATGGGGTTCCGAGTGTCACATAATTAACAGCGGAGGTGGGTTGGAAACTGGGGGTTCCAGAACCGTCAGGTTGAAAAGAATCCAACCGGGGCGGTCGCAATTCTACTTGTTGAGTATTATGGATGGAAGTCTCTTGACCGGCGTTGGAAATGCTGTTGGTGTCCATTCTTATGTTATTGCTTGGAGCTCTTCCTCTACGACTTGTTCTTCTTCCTCTTTGCTCGTTTTGTTGGGAACTTCCTGGGATGTTTTGAATTGGGGTTATGGGGCAATCGGGTTGAACCACTGTTACATTAACACCATCCATCCATTCGAACCACCTCCTTGAAAACGTGATATCGTCACCATGCTTGCTGGAAACAAAGTATCTCCTTTTGTCTTGATCCAGATAAAACTTAACTGGTTCCAAAGACTTCTCATTTGGGTTGTATCTTTCTTTAAACGCTGTCAGTTTCTGGATCTCGTTCTGTATCAGGATTACACTCTGTCTCATTTCTTCGGAACAACAAATGTTCTCTATTGCTTCGACACCTTTTGTGATCGTCGCAACCAGAGTCGACAAAAGGTTGGGAACTTCAACAACCTTTTCATCAACAGTCCCAATGAGAACGGGTTCATTCGGAATTTCCGACATTTCCAGAATGTCCGTTCTTGTCGCGATGGAAGTATATTCTTTTACAAACCGCGCAGCTCGATTCGGGTCAATTCTTATTCGTTTGATACCATCTACCTCTCTGACGACAATCCCATTTCTCTCAAATGAAGCCACCACTGTTCCAATGGTTGAGCGATCACTCAGAGTCTTGAGAAGTGAGGAGATTTTGAGGCTGATTTGCCTTCCGTTTGGAGATCTTTAGTTTCCATTAAGGACTTTGTTGATTGCTTCATCTTCCATTGCAAACGACTTCATAATCTCTACGTCCTCTGGATCTTCGATGAATTCATTGAAGGCGTCGTTGACTTCCTGGTCGGACTCATCTTCTTGTTCAACTTCTGAAAACATAGTGGTGATTTCTTTGGTGGGAGCGCTCTTTCGAACAAGTGACTTTGCTGCGTTTGAGTGTTTTTTGACTGCTCCAAAAAAACACAGATCGAGTGGTTGAGTGAGGTGACTTGAATGGGGGCAGTATGTGTGCAATTTGATCTGGTTTGCTTCGAGCCATCCAAGAAGCTCATCGTCAAGATGTCCCGAAAAGTTGTCCATTGTGATAAGTCCCCAACTACCATCAAGACCAAGTTCTGTTCTCTTTTTGACGATCACTTTGATGATCTGCGCCATCCAATGCTTGAAGATATATTTGTTGACGAACCCGTTGTTTGTGTAATAGACGAAACAGTCGGGGAACTTCTCTTTGGCTTCGCAAAAGAACTGTTTTTGGTTGATGACAATGCCGAAAGGCAACGTTGTTCCATCCGCACAAATTCCAACTATCGCTGTGGAATGTTTACTTGACCTGCTACAACCGTGCTTTGGGGTTGTCTTGTCCTCATTACTCTGGAAGATGTATAGATTCTTTCTGTCTGCCCAATCGTTGCTTCCCATTTCATTGATATTTACACGTAGGGCTGCTGGTATATTGTCAAACTTTTTGAGCTCTTTGAAGTTATCAACAATGTTCTCTGGATTGATGGAGATTCTGTCTAGATCTTCTGCGGGTGCTTTCTTGAGACCAATCTTCAACTTCTTCATGTGTTTAATGAGACCCCGTCGCGATATTTCAATGTCGGGTACTTTTTGACTCAGGTACCGAAGAATTCCAGTGACAGTACATGCAATTCCCTTTCGTTTACAAGTGACAAGCCACTTGTCGATTTTGTTATCAACATCTTTGGAGATTTTTGGAGGTTTGCCGTTCTTCAATTCTCCGATTTTTCTTCTGGTGTGGGTGTCTATCGTGGATTTTGAAGCACCATAAAACATCTGGATAGTTCTTGTTGAGTGATGAAGTTTGTAATGCAAATAATGGATTTGTTCACGCATGGAAGTCTCCTTCAAAAATGTCTCATCCTGCCAAGCTTGTTCAAGAGCCTGTTCAACAAGAAGAAGTCTCTTTGGAGAGATACCATTCTCTTTTGATTTCTGGACATTTTGACGCATGCTGTTTTGTGAAAGAGAAGGTTTCTTCAACTGTTTTGTTTCTTTTGTCTCTTTTGGAATTTCAGTGTTGTGATCAGCGACAACACGATTTTGAGGATTAGGGAAGCAGGACATCAGATTCAGTGATGAAAAACTTGGCAACATGAAAAGGATGTTTAAAGTTATGAACGATTTAAAACCTAAAAGAAAATTGTTTAGATGAAAATAATGGATTGTTTTGTGCAAAAATTGGGGTTTTGGGGGATTTGAATATCTTCCACTTTAACTTTTTGGTAAAGACTTTGAAATTGATTCAATACGAGAAGACATTTTCTAAAACAATCAAGAAAATATAACCAAGTAAAAAAGAAAATGTTTTATAAAACGATGACTCTTTTTGGTGAAATGAGGACAAATTTTGGAAATTTTTGAAGTTTTTTTCGGCTTTTTTTTCGTTTTTGAAATTCGAAGAAAACATCTCATTTGTTCATTGCTTTTTGTTATTGATTTTGTTGAACTTGAATAATCTAAAAAAGACAAATTAATGGTTAAAATACCATAAATTGAATTTAAAAAATGGCTGACAGGTTAGTTCCGGTTGACAGGTTATTACTCCAACTGTGTATCTTTATATAGTTTTTCGATTTTTGCCAATATTTAATTATTATTTGTTTGGATGTTAAAAAGCGGATAAAAAAACAAAAAAGACCAAAAAAAATCCAACAATAACCAATATCATTAAATTTATTTTTTATTTTTTCAAAAAACAAATCAAATGTGACTTTTGTTGTTTTTAATAAATTTAAACATATTTGATGAGAAAATATTTTTATTTCATCGGAAGCTGATACGTTAATATAAGTGTAAACAACTTAAAAATAACATTTTTTTTAAATTCAACAATAAAATTTATATTATTACATAACGCATATTATAAAAACAATAGGCACTTTATGTTTAAAATTATTAGTTATCATTTACCACCATGAATCATTTTTAAAATAAACGACTATTCTCTTCAATTAATGTAATTAAAAGAATCTTAGATTGTAAACTGTTTTTTAAAACTCTGTACTGGGATGCCCCGATTTATTGGACTTATAATTTCTAAATAATTTTTCCTTTTCTTAACCCTCATTTTTTGTTATAAATATTTACCAAAAAAAACAAGATAACGAACTTGTATTTTTAAATTTTACTTGACAAATAAATCTTGCACTAAAAATTTACTTGAAAAATATAAAAAACAAACTTCGGATTAAAATTGTGATTACCATAACACAAATTTTACCAAAAAGATAAAACACAGCTTTATAATTAAATGTCCATGTTTATAGAAACACCAAGTAGTGTTCTGGATAAAAATGAAAAGTACTAATGAGTAAAACAAGCATTGAGAGAAAAAAAATAACATTAAAACTATTCACTTGAAAAGTTTTTTATTTTTGAACTGTTTATTTTATTTTAGACTCTTTTGATTAATAACCTTGATTGTTTAAATGTTTGTTTTATGTTATCGATGACTTTTTTAATTGTTGAAATAAACAAAAACTTATTATTTATTAAAGTGTTGTGTCATTTGATGCAATAATGTACTTCATTACATCATTAGTTTATTGTTATATTATCGTTTATCTTGTGTTTGTTAGAAATATGTTGTTTTACTCACGTTTAGTCACAAAATAAACCACTGACCAAATAACGAACCTGGAAAATTGGGAAAGATTTATTCAATATTTGGGTAATTTCCCGATTTTTTTGTTCAATAATTGAAATTGTATTGATTTTTAAGGGTTTTAAACTGTGAACCGTTGTTGGTTCAACAAAAAGGAAAATAAAAAATAAAACAAATATAAAACAATAAATAATGGGAAATTAGGACAAAGGGTTTTCATAAATTTTGGAAACGGTACAGAGTTTTGAAATACAGTTTATGTAAGTAAAATTTAATTTCTGTTTTTGTACTTATTTCAAATAAACATTATTTTCGTGTAATTAAAGAAATATTGTCTAGTAAAAATATGCGTTTCATGTCATAATTATTCAATAAATATTGCAATACAACGTTCCTTTACACAATAAGTCGGAAATTAAAGTTGTTGTTTATTTAAAGAATTTATCTGATAGATAAAATCGCAATAATATGATCATCATTATCATATTTTAATTATCAAAAATATAACTATTTAAATTCATAATTTTTTAATTAGAGTACAGTGAAATATTACTGCGAATTGTTATTGGGCAAAAAATAATGTTATTGTGGCTTGTAAAACATAAAAAATAATTTACTTTGTAAAAATGTTATATAATATGGCTATCAATTAAAACAAGGGTAAATTCGTAAAAACGAACATTCCAAACAACTCAAACTAGATATTGGTTTTTATTTTATAGATTTTAACAATTTATAATATAAATTACTAAACAATAAATCAAAACATAATAACAAAAACGAATAAATTAAAACATCGAAATTTTGAATAAATAGTCCACCTTTTGGACATTATTATTTGAAATTTGATTTCTGCTCAGCTAGTCCTTAATTTTTGTTGGGAATATTGAAATTAATAACTCCAATTAAATAAACTTAAATTACCATTATAATCAATATGTTTTAACATAATAATAATACAAAAACACACAAAAATATCAACTCGAATTATTAAGATCGAATAAATGTATCAACTTCGATATTATTATAACAACACAAATTGCAATACAATAAACATAAACAAAATACAAAAACACGTTATAAACATATCATATTGATAAATTTATAAAATATAAATCAATTTGATGATAACAAACGGTTAACGAGCGTGGGGCTTTCAAATGGCAGATAATTTAATCACACCAATTTGAAATTTAAATAATTTGTTGTTATGAAAGAATTAAGTTGTTTGGGTTCTGGTGTATTAGTTCTTTTAAAATAATGATAATTTATAATAAAATTATCCATAATTATTCGACTAGTTTAATTATATGATAATAATTATTAAAAAATAGTTTCACATTCAGAAAAAATAAATTATAAATTATTGTTGTTTTATTATAAATTTTTGCTATTGATATGTTGATGTTAATTAAATTTGCACGTAAATTAACTATTTCACTTGTTTGATGTTTATTATATTTTAATTATATTTATACTATAATAATAGTTCATTGTTTGATTTATTTGATGTGAATTGTGAATGTATTATCACATCATTTCACAATAAAAAAGCCAGTGGTTATACAACTGACATTTCAAGTATTGATTGCATAGTTTCTATAATACAGATAAAGGTATTAAATATATAATTATATTGTTTATTCGTTTTGTTTTTAAACCATTTTTTGTGTCACGGTGTGACGGGTTAGATTCTTTCTTTGGATTTTTTTAATCGAAAAATCAACGACTTTCATAAAACATAAACAAGACATTAAGTAATGATTTTTCAAATAACAAGTCGTTGTGAAAGCAACTAAAGAATTCACCTTATACATCAGAATGAAATTATATTGTTAAGTGATTATTTGGTAATTAAAATTATGAGAACGATTTTTTATTTATAATTTTTAATCTTCATCAACAATACGATATTAAGCAAAACTTTATTGTTAAAATGTGTTCATATTTTGGCAGAGATATCGACTGTTCAATAAAATTTTATTTCATAAATTGATGTAACGAATAAATCATCATCAATTATTGGTACATTCTTTCACATTTTGAAAATATCAAAACAAATTATTACTTGATAAAATAATTTTTGGATATGTGAAACTATAATTTAGAATTTGTCTTTTTGTAATAACAAAAAATTTAATAACGTTTTGTTTTTCAACGAGAAAAGGAAAAAACAAAACCTTCATAAAAAGTATATAAAAACACCATTTTTTCTCTTGGCACAATCTGTTGACTTAGCCTCAAAAGATTTTGTAGAACAAAACTATCTTTTTTCATGTTAATAGCTTTAAATAACAAAAAAATTAAACCCAAAATGTTTTAAAACCCTTAATAACATTATTTTTTGCCCAATAACAATTCGCAGTAATATTTCACGCCGCAGTGATTTTTCACTGTACTCTATAATTATTTAATTACATTTGTTTTTGAATATAATGTCTCGAACTATAATAAGTATTCTTAAGCGCCTTTCAAAAGATAATATATAGATGTTTACAAATAATGTTATAGATAATCAATCCAAACCACGGTTAAATGTTGTACAAATGATATTTCGATATTTGTTGCCTATAAAAACAAATTAAATTAATTACGAGCATTTTTAAATGTATTATATGTGCCATTATTTTGATATATATTCAATATTTATAAATAATATGTTTTTGATTTGTTCCTTATTTATTAAATATATAGTTGTTATTGTTAAAGTATTTATTAAAACATGTTTTGTGCAAATTGTTTTTTATTTATGATAAGTAATAAATATATTTACAAGAAGACGAATATTGCCGATCATTGTAATAATTGTAAGAAAAAATCATTATTGAATTTTTCATTTTTTTTTCAAAATGCTGAAATTGTTTTAACCAAAAACATTAAAATGATATTTATTAAATTATTCTTTATAAACAAAACCAAAATTCTAGAACTTAAATAGTTCTATTTGGTGAAACGATTTCACCAAATAATTTACTTACAGGGAAGCTAAAAAAAACCGCTTCCGTCTTTTTACCGCTTCCACTTGATTTTATAGATTTAAATAATATTAATATAATAAAATGTATAGTACTGTTTACCATGAAGGCTGAATATGCCTCGTGGAGACTTTTTCTGTCCGAGGTGGTAATTTGTATCATACTTTTTATTGTAATGTTATTATTTATAACTATTAAATCGATAAGTAGCGGTTAAAAAGACAAAAGCGGTTTTTTATCCTCCCTGTAAACATAAATTTCCAGTAAAATTATTTCACCATTTTACTGACCCATTATTAAACCTTTTTAAATTCATAAATTCACAAAATTAGTTTCTATTTGAAATTTATACAAACAATCAAAACACTTTTAAACTCAAATGTTATTAAAACAGTAAATATCAAAAAGGTCAATTATTTGAATATTATAAGAATATCAATATGTAGACGCGCCATAAGATTCGACTGTAATTGGGAGTGGAATAATTTTTAATAATCCACACCCTTTGAAACATTGTTTTCCAATAGTTCTGACTGTTGACGAGATGTCAATTTTTGAGAGCATCGAACATCCTGCAAAGCATCCATCACCAACTTTTGTCACCCCATTTGGAATACTAAACTCTTTCAGTGCAAGGCAATCTCTGAAACAGTAATTTTCCATCACATTTATTTGTCCACTCATTTTAATTTCACTAAGTTCAACACATCCTTCAAACGTAACAGTTCGGATCACATCAATTTTGCTTGGCAAAGTCACACTTTTAAGTTTTTTACAAAACTTAAACGCACCAGCTCTTATTGATGTGATCGAATCTGGGAGGTCGATGTGGCAAAGTTCGTCACACCCAGCAAAGCAAAACGAACATAAACATTCGACACTATCATGGAGTGTGACTTTACTCAGTAATTTGCATTCAAAAAAACATTGACTTGGTATTGATGTGACAAACTTGGGGATAACTATAGAAGTTATGTTGCATTCACTAAAAACGTTTTTACCTTCTATCTCAAAAAGGTGTGCAGGCAATACAATTTCATTCAGGTGGTTGCACTTTTTAAAACAAGAATCTCCAATTATACATAACTTGTCTGGGAATGATACACTTGTTAAGTTTGTACACGACTCGAATACAGAGTTGTGTAACTTTGTGACAGACTTTGGAATTTCAATGGAAGTTATTGAATCATATTCAAAAAGTTCCTCTCCAATTTCAGTAACTTCTTCTGGAATGGTGCCATGACAATACTTTTTACTCTCTTTATTTAAGATCACGTTTTTAAAGACGACATTCTTGTCTTTGTTATCGACTACTACTTGGTACTCGACGTCATGCCAAACTACGATTTTGAAAAAAGCTACAGACGCATTTGGAAACCAATAACTCGGTTTTAATTTCATCATCTTCGGATAACAGACTTTCTTTAACTTTTTGAAGGGGTGTTGCATGATGTGGTAATGCATGTTTTCATTATCACGTTGTTTCTTGGAAGCCATATAGTCGTTTCCAAAGTTTTCATCAGTCAACTGCCATATGTAAAGTGTTTCTAAAGACTCAAAAAATTCTATTGTTTTTAATGTTAATGGTATCGGGTTGTAATGAAACTTCGCCATGGTTCCATTGAACTTTTTGCAAACTTGTTCGAAACTTATAAAGTCTCTAATTGAAGAAAAGTGTTGTGAGACAACCATTCCATTGTAACTATCCAACTTAGACATAATGAAATATGTTGATATTTTTTATAGATTAATATAAAGATAAAAGAATGAGGAATTTTTAATAGAGCTGGAAACATCCAAAACACCAATTTTTAATTTTTAAAATGAATATAAATGATAAATTTTTAATAGTTTGATAATAACAATTTCAATTAAAAAGTACTTTAAACTTATTTTTATTCAAAGGTTTCTAAAAATACAATTCTAATTACCCACGTCACCACTGTATCATTATTAATAAAAAACTGAACCAAAACTTTGATTTTTCTTATAAATTCATACTTAATAAAACCACATTTCGGCAATAATTATTTTGGAAAAGTCTATTTTTATCATGCCCTGAGTTAATGAGAATCAGAGTGAGTGATTGTTAATTAAAAAATCTAAAATCATTATCCAGTTAATGAAAATGAACAACTTCTAAATATCGAGAGTTTTCAAAAAGTTTTCAAGTCTTCATTGAATTGGCCAAAATCACAAAATATTTTTTTATATTTGGTTGTTCTTCATGTTATAAATTACATATAATTAACATATTTCATATTGTAAATGTTTGAGACGAATACTAAAATTCAAATTGAATATTGATGGGTTTTTAACATGCTTATTCAGCTTTATTATTAAACATTTAAATATTTTTTCACAAACAGAAAGATTTGAATAAAAAGTTATTTTTATTTTGTTAATTCAGAAAATATTATCATTATTTCTATAATCGAACAATTATTATAAGTTTTTTTAATTATGATTAATACTCTGTTCAATTTGTTTGAATAAATAATATATAGTATGAAAAATCATTTAATTGTAATTATTTAATGATTTTTGACTAAAGTAAAATATTTCATTTGTAATGCCCAATTTAGAAAATCCTTTCATTAATAGACGTTTCAACCAATTAAAATAAAAAACACTTATTGAGGGGGAAAACAATATTATAATAACTATTGAGGGGTTCTATTTTCTTGTTTAATCTACTAATGAGAGGTTTTACTGTATTAATTAATTGAGATTTATTTTTTGTGCTTATTTCTGAATTATGAAAAATGTGTATATTTTATACAAATTAAATCTGTTTTCAAAAACTATTAAACTCTTTAATAAAACAATTTAATTATATTCAAAACAAGTTTAAAATGTTTATCAATGTGTTATTGAGATTGTGTGTATTTAAATATGTATTTAAATATTGATTATTATAAAACAACTTTTTTAAATATCAATGTTTTTTATTAATCATGCATCCTTTTATTTTCACGAATCTCCAGTTTCTGTTGTGAATCATTTTTTTATTCGATTGTAAAAAATGCAAAAAATAATTATCAATACAAAAATTGTAAACAAGAGATATTGCATTTAAAAAGAACCAAGATTAAAACGAAATACAAATGAAAATGATTATGGTTGTACTTGGCTTGTGTTTATAAGATAAAAATAAAAGAAAAACAACAATAAAATAACAAGTAACTATAACATGTTTGTTTACATAAACATAATAATTGAATTATAAAATTTTTTAATTATTAATTATTGTTTTAATTTTTTAATGTAAAAAAGTTAATACTGTTCCATTTTTATTATTGAAACTTACTTGAATCTCAAATTATTGTATTTTTAACGACATTTCAGTAAATATTAACATTTAAATATATTTTAATAATTTTTTTAATTTCCATATAAAAATTATAAAAAATCAA